GAGTCATTAGAATCAGCTGAGATTTATCTCCTTCCCCGGTGCGTCGGTCCCCGCGAGGTGCTGTTTGCCGTGGAATACCTTCACATTTTCTCAACTGTCTGTTTGCTTTTCATTTGAAAACCGCCAGAGCTTTTAATCTCATTGTTTTACCAACGTGGAATATAATATGCTGAAGGGGATGTGATTTGGAAACGGGGGACGTGGCAGCCTGCTTGACGTGTGCTACAGGCAGAACTTACATGCTTGGTGTCGGTTTAACGTAAAAGCCCAAGAAAATACGTGCAGAAGTAGAAAACACTTAACATGGCATAATAGCACTAGTATTATTACTACTAACCACCACTAAATGTGGTATACTTTTGACTATAAGTAACCTACTAAGCAATGATGTTGGATGACAAAGCCTGACTTCAGACTCCACTTTACTTCATTCCTTAGCTGTTCTGTTTGGGTTTTTAGTAGCAATGCATGATATATTGACACTAACATCAGATATACATAATTTTTCAACAGATCAGTATCTGTGCCTGATAAATAGAACTTTGCCAATATGAACAACTGATACTTATTTTTATCTTGCCGCAATGGTAGTGAAATATATCGGTAAATATCTGTAATATTACAATTAGCCAACTCCTGAAAAATAGCTTTTTACATGCACCAGTGCCTGCATGTGTGTAAATACTTCGTCTTCCTTCTCCTGTACGTACGTATTCTTTATAAAAACTAACATCTACACCACATCGTTTAAAAAAATAATATTGTATTTACGTTATTGGTTTAACAAAAGTTTTCATCCACACAGAATAAACACAAATCTGCGTTGTGCTAAACATGCCAAATCCATAGGGGGCAGTGTAGCACAAAGCTAAAATCTATGTTAGCCAATCAGATTGCTTCAAAACAATCATGATTTCCTGTTAGGAATTAATCATGGCAGAAGGAGGTTTATTTGTATGGACAGATATACAAGTTGAGCTACTTTTAATTGAGAGCATTAGAATATAAAGTTAATGAAACAAGACAATGTCTATTGGGAATCATGTCAAAGCACACGTGTGGACATGCTGGCACATTATTTGTTGCAGACTGTAATGTGCAGGAACCTAAAACTTCTTTTCACAAGACACACAACTATGGGAGGTACTCAAATCTCCACTTTCGTATGAGCTTTATAGTGATTTATAGTAATTTTTAGTGATATTGAACAGAGTTTCTGAGTGGATGAAAGGCCAAAACACATAAAAATGTATTCATTTCCCCAGGCACCCGGCTAGGTCTTAGTTTTTCTGCAGCTGAAGCAGGCACAGCTGGTTCCACTGTGCCCCCTAATGAGCAGAGTACAAAGCGGGGTGTGGGACTGATCTTATTGCCATTTGGCCATTTGGGCAGCATGTGTGTAGCTTCAGACCAGTTTTTTGGTTGTTTTGTTCGCAGCTGGTGTGCTGCTGGTAACTCAGGACTTGCCTTTTGTTTTGTTCCCATATGGTAGGATGAGTGCTGGTTCTTTCTACTAGAGGGTTTAAGGGTTTATGGTTATTGTTCTAGAGAACATTTTGTTCCAGCTTGTGTCTGGACAGAGAAAGAACCAGAGTCTCCTTCACTAGCTGGTGCTGGTGGCTCATCTTTAGAAACCTGAGATTTTAGGATCTGGATTAGTTAGGTTTTTCCTTTAAATTCTAGATTACATTTGTCTTTCCCTAAATAAATTTACTACATCTTAGTTTTGTCTCGTCTCTTCATGCCGTCTTCATTTATTGCCATGCCCCCCTAGACTGGCTTGATGGAATGCAACACAACCCCACACTACCTTTGCTCGCTATCAAGCTAGCTAGCTTGCTAGCAGGCTATTTCATGACGTCTATCAAAGGGAATTGGAGGCAAAAAAACTAACTATCTTGATCTTTAAAATGTTGTTATATAGTTCACCTTTATGTAATTTTAGAGTACTAATTCATAATTTTTAGTCTTTTTATGAAATCCCCAAACCTCTAAAGGTTGGATGACAGGTGTTAAATTAGCAGCTCAAATGCCTCTTTGCCATTGTCCTTACTTTTAGCTCCTGGCATGAATTTAAGTTCAGAATCATATTGGGCCAATCCAAAATGTTAGTAACTTTTAGTCTAATGAAAATGTATATAACGATCTGATTGGATGTACATATGAGGTGTAGAGTTGTTGGTGTGTGTACTGCTTTGGATTTACATATATAAATTGTGACTTAAACAGGACAACCAAACATTTCATTGACTGTGAAACAGAAAGGCAAAGTTAAATACGTTCATATTCTTCCTACTTCTTTTTGAAAAATATCTATCTATACATAGATATAAACATACTGGATGCACATTCAAAATAAAGTCTTCAATTGCATTCAATTCAGTTCAATTAATGAGGTCAGATTTACAGTGCTTATGTCACACTATCAGTTCAAAAACTAATTATACTCTTCCTATCTTTATATTTCAGTGCGTTTGTGTTTTTTCCTCTGGCTTTGGTGTTGTTCTTGTCAGATAATTCTCATTAGCAGATGTAAAAGTACAACAGCTTAAAATAGAAATGAGCTCACAAAGCTTTTCCCGTTGATTATTTAAAGCTTTATCTCTCAACTTAAATGTCTGATAACTGATAAAATACTAATTAAAAAAAAAACAAATGCGGTAAATAAAATCCCAACATCGGTATCTCTGAAATTTAGACACATAGAAGAACAAGAAAACAACACACCTAATGCTAAAAGTACACTTCCTGTTTGACCTAGAATAATCCAGTGAAAGAAAAAGCGATGTACAGTGGTAGTTTATAGTAATACGTAATGTTTCGTGTGTGGACCAAACATCTGAGTTGTGGTTTTCAGAGTATAGTTTTTCATCTTTTTGATTTTTTCATTAATTGACTTGACAAATTGAAACTTTTGGCTTTATTTCAACATTCTCCTCATTTCCATTATTTTTGCATGCACATTTTGAAGTATCGCAATAGCAAAGGTTGATGGAAATGGCTAAATTTGAAATAACTTCCTCAATTTTACAAAAAGAAACCCAAAACATTTTTAAGCTAGCTTGAGGAGGTTTTCGGCTTTTCAGAAAATGAGCTAGTATGCTAAAAACAATGAAAACATGGAAACACATTTTCCAAATAAGTTTTGACCCTCCAATCCAGTGGTGGGTTTGTGCCTTACCAGAGGCACAAAAATCTCAATCCACATCTCCGTGCCGGAGGGGAGGACTCCATTTATTTTTATGAGATGTGTGGTCCATGCTACTTCCTGCTTACTACAGCTATACCTCGCGTCAACACCTGACAAAGTTACGCTTTGTGTAGCGTGGTTGATTCGCTCCAAACCAGTAGATGAAAACATGCCTATTTAGCAATATTATTTTTTTTTTTTTGCATCATTTTAAAAATTAGCTCAAATGCCACACAACAATTGGATGGAAACATAGCTAATGGCTTTTTGTGTAGCACGTGTTTAGTTCATGACTACACACATTCTTCCAAGATAGTAATCTTGGCTGTTTATCTGCTTGCTGCTCTCTTGTTTGAGACGGGCATCCAAATCTTGCTAGCTTTGCAGTTGTGCCACACTTTTTCCATTTTCAGATGATGAACTGACCCGACCTCAGACCTGACCGCTGTGTTCCTCGGTCTTCACAACGCCGTTTTCCCTCCACTCTTTGCCTTCTCTACATTCATACTGAGATTAAATCACAGACTGAATTAGTCAATAAAACCGAGGCGTCAACCAGTTGATAAAATTTAGATGCTCAGTTTTATCTGTAGCTTGTTGCAGCCATACTGTTGAGTTTCTGTATGATCCAAACAGAAATCCAGTCTAGTTCTGATCAAGTCTCTCTCCCTCGTGAAGCAAAGTCAACCTTTGGTGATTACCATGGTTACATAGATACTGTAAATTCTGCTTAAACCTACCGACCTCCTATCAGTACCACACAAAAGCCTACGAGACACTGTTTGCTAACTCCGGTCTTCCGCCACAACTGAACCACATTTCCTCCACTGCTCTACACAGAGCACGTTATTTATTTTAGCCCTCTCACACTCACACTCTCCTCCTTCTTCACTGTTATCAACAACTTGTGAGCAAATGGTGCACAGCAGGCGCCGTGTCATTGAGTCTCCATGAAGAAAGTGTAATTGTTTCACTGATTATGCACCAACAACAGAACAATGGGAGTCGGTGACGCTGCAGCTGTAAACGGGGTTAGTTCCTCCGAGGTGAGGCAAACCGACCGGACCTCCGCCCAGGCGGCTCCAGGCTTCCCAAGGAGGCCCCAAGTGGTCCCTGGTCACTGATTCTGATCCGGGCTCCTCCAACATTTGTCCGTGCCAGTCGAAGAAAGCGGTTTTTGGGGACAGGGTTGCCTGTTGTTTGCCTTTTATTTACAATTTCAATGTCAATTCCACATATTTTCAAAATGGTTGTTATAGAGCTTCAACCTGAATGTGAAGCGAGTTTCAGATCTTCAAATGTAGACAGATTGTCCTCATGGAGGTGGCGCCAGCATAAGCTCAGGCACAAGGTATTTAAAAGGCTAAATGCTAAATGCAATTTACGCTAGCAGCTATTTGCCTCCAACACGCCGCCTGTTGGGCCAAAGTTTCCGAAGCTTATCAGACCTTTCTGAACCACAAAGTAAAAATCAGGCTGAAGGCATCCAGGAGGATGCTTTGTTCTTAGCTCCTTAAATGAGTGAGGACAGAGGAGTGTGTGCCAGGCGTGAACACACACACACACACAGCTGCAACACAGAGGCTTAATTAGGCTGCATCACAGATCTGCTGTGATTGTCAGCGCTTTCAAAAAGTGAGCGCACGTGGGTGGAGGTTATGATGGCGAGGGAGAGCAGGCCTTACCTGCTTCCTTTGTCTTGTACGGGGAACTTGTGTCTTTAATGCTGTGCAGCCATCCACCCCCCCACCCCCAACTCACACCATTTAACTTGAGCTCCTGTTTCCTCCCTCCTACTCTCTGTTTGCAGAAACCCTCATGGACAGTCGGTGGGCTACCACAGAGCTGGCTTGGACCACGTTTCCAGAGAGCGGGGTGAGTTAGAGTTAGTGTGCTTATGCATTGAATTTGCTTTGTGCATTGTGTTTTTTTGTTTTTTTTCCTTCTTCTTTCTCCTCCAGCAGCATTTGTTCCATTTGCCTGTTAATAGAGCCCAATCTGCCTTGAACAGCGAGCCTCCCTGCTGTTTTATATCTTTGTTTTTGCAGGGAATGTTTACTTTCTTGGATAGTAAAAAGCACACGGTGACATTGTGTGAAATAAATGTGAGATTTCAGTGTGTACATCTTTCTGGAGTCCTAAAAAAAAGTGCAAGAGTTTGCATGTGTAGACTGTACTCGGTGCCGCGAAATGAGCAAATATCGAGGCCGGGAGAAAATGCCCTTAATGTGAGGACTGCATAGGTGGGCCGCAGCTTCCGTCTCTCCCCAGGAAAGAGGGCCTGGCAACTTGAAAGCATGCGTCTTTTATAACACGGGCCCAAGAGCGCATTACAGGCAGAAATTAAGGGTTTTCAGTTGATACCCCCTATAGGAATTGTGAGAAAATAAAACAACATGAATTTGACCCCAGGGCTAACAGCCTGACAGACCTCCCCCACACCCGGCCGGCGCAATTTGTCTTCGCTACGTGAGCGCAAAGTCAGTCAATGGAAATGCTGGGTTGCTATGGAAACCATCTCCACCAGCTCCCTCTTTTTTTTTTTTTTTTTGTGCTTTTTCAATCCCCCCCTCTTTTGCTCCGGCCGGCTCTGAATGTCCTGGCATCCATGAAGTCATATGTCAGGACTGGCGAGGCACCGCATCCCCCCCTCCATCCTCCACCCTCGCTCCCCTCACGCCCCGGCAAAGCCCGTTCGTTCAGGGGCCGGCAATTATCATATTTGTCAGGTAGCGTGTCAACGTGTTGCCGGTGATTTACGACGTCTGATGCCGACTCTTTGGGCTCATCGTTTGGGGATAAATTGCCCGGCAGCCCGGAGACGTGAGATGAGTTATGCATTATTTTCCCTCCAGTTGAAATAATCAATTTCTGGGGCAGTCATTTGTTATGGAAACGAAGCATTCAGTTGAATTGGGAACCAAAGGGGGAAAAAAAACAGAAACATTGATGTCTCACAAGGTTATTTCCTAATGGACTGAATTTATTGACCAGTGGACAACATATATTAGGGCTTCTAACATTAGTTTGTATATAAACATCCCTGTTAAATACAAATATAGTGCTTTGCTAAGGCATTCCCCAACATTAAAATTAATAACTATGAACTTATTAATTACGAAGAGTCTAAAAAGTGTTGTTCAGTACTTTGTAGGACCAACTTTCAGCTGCAAATCTTCATCACCCCTGCACATCTAGACGCTTTTCCCATTCTTGTTAGCAAAGCAGCTCAAGCTCAGCTAAATTCAACTGAGAACACCTGTAAACATAAATGTTATGTGATAAGAGTTGGATTTAAGTCAGGACTTTGACTAGGCCAGTCAAAGTGTCAAGTTGTTTGTGGTCTCAAATGCCCCTTCCCCATTGTCAAGTCTCACTCTAGCCGGTTACTGCCTGGTCCGGTTCTAGTCGGGCTTGTGTCCATCGGCAGGATGTTCCTCACGATGTGGGTGTGCATATGGGCGGGCCGTGAGCACGCTGCAGCTGTGGTCGATTGATGTCATGTGGAGCATGTATCCTTGGGCAACCAGAAATCTCTCACTATAGTTGTTTGTTGCCCTGTCCAGTTGATGCAATTTGTTCTCTTCCATTGCAGTCGATAAAAAGGTTTGGACCTCAAGGTTTGACAATGGAGTTATTGATTTGTTCAAGCTCACAAACTATTGAGTTTGAGCTTGAACCATCACTGAAAATGATCCTTGAGATGTTGTTGATGTAACTCTTCGGGCTTGCTCTGGCTGTTCTTTTGGATGATTCCAAAAAAAGGAAAGAAGGGAAGAACCACGTAGGATCCGCAACAGAAATCCTTAACAGGTTTTCTTCCAGTATGGCCCATGCTGTTGACATCTTTTGAGCTTGTACCTTTGCCAGATTTGAGCCAGATTTTCGAAAATCTCTCGGTGTATCTGTTCCGTCTGGTTGACGCTGTATTTATCCTTCTGCCACAACTCATAAAAATGTTTGGACCCCAAGTTTATCAATGGAATTATCGATTAGTAGCTTCTACGGTCTCGTTGTGGATTGGTGGTTGAGATGTGGATATGGTTGACGTAAATCTATGGGTCAGCCAATGAATGCAGTTTGCTGCTAATCAAATAGCTTGAGCACAATACCCGACTAGATCCAGCTTGAACCACCCAAAAAACAAAGAACTGCGCAGTATCTGCAAACAGAGATGATTCTGGCAGGGGCTGTTTTATAAATGCAAAAACAAAGTCAAAATTTACTTTAATTTGATCATCTTAGTGTTTCCTGAGCTACAGCTCGGCTGAGCGTGGCAGCTTTATGAACTAATACATGTAAATACATGCACTCATGGTTCATGTGTATGAAGACATAGTGCGTAGCGCTCACACCGCTGGACTCGATCACATGCACGAAGTTCCCTTCATTAAAGACACACGGGAACGTTTGAGTTTCAACGGTGCCGTTTGTCTGAGAAACCAAATCTCTTTCCTCAAGCTCAATCGATTGCGCCGCATCAGATTTACAGACAGGTCTTCCTCCACTCTACGCTGCATCTTCTGAGGGTAGGATTTGATAAAGCTTTTAAATCGACACATTTTGCTGTGATCACAGCCGAAGAAAAAGTGGCTTCCCCGCCCCCGTTTCTTTCCCTCAGACCTCCGGCACGCGCTCGGCATCGGAACTAGTCAAACAGATAGAATGCGTGAAATGTGTTTTAATGGGAAAATGTTATCTATTAATAGCCCATAATGATTGGAATTTTCTGAATGATTCATGCAATTAGAAGCGTTTTAGCTGCAAATTATTCCTCACAGGCCTCGTGTACACACAGCATGCTGCGGGAATGTGTGTGTGTGTGTGTGTGTGTGTGTGTGTGTGTGTGTGCGTGTGTCATTTCATTTTTGTAATCCGTTCCAAGCGCCACAGGACTGTTTTGAACGTCTTCCATGTTTGAGCACTCTGCATTAGGAAGCATTAGTTAACGTCAACAAACAACATATTTGATCTCTTTGGGGTTTTTTAAGCGACTTGAGACCAGAGTCTGTGTTAAACAATGGAATATTAGGACCATTGTAGCTTGAAAACCAAAAGAAGCCAAAAAAACTCAGAAATATTTAGATTAATCTCAGACATCTTCTAGAAAAAACTTTGACATTTCTGAGTGTAAAAAGTTGAAATCCTCCAGGGAAAAAAATTAATTTCTGAGTTTGAACAGAAGAAAACTTAGAAATTCAATTAATAATCTCAAATGTTCTTAAAAAAAATTTGGAAATTTCAGTTTGAAAAGTGAAAAAGTTTCAACTGCAAAGTTTTCTCTGCAAAGTTTCTGAGATTAATCTCAAAACTTCAGAGTTTTATTTGCAGAAATTTAACTCTCCCTTTTTTTTCAATCTACAATCACTAACACTCGTTAGCTTTCCAATCAGGTTACTAGGATTTTTTTTGACCGAGTTCCTCTGTCTTTTTTTTTTTTCCCCCGCAGTGGGAGGAAGTGAGCGGATACGATGACTCCATGAGCCCCATCAGAACCTACCAGGTGTGCAACGTCCGGCAGCCGAACCAGAACAACTGGCTGAGGACAGACTACGTCCCCCGTAAAGGAGTGCTGAGAGTCTACGTGGAACTCAAGTTCTCTGTCCGCGACTGTGCAAGCATCCCCAACATCCCGGGCTCCTGCAAGGAGACCTTCAATCTGTTTTACTACGAGTCAGAGGGGGACGTGGCAACAGACAGCAGCCCCCTGTGGAAGGAGAACCCTTACGTGAAGGTGGATACTATTGCTCCGGACGAGAGCTTCTCTCTGCTGGAGGCCGGCAGGATCAACACCAAAGTGCGCAGCTTTGGCCCCTTGTCCAAGGCCGGGTTCTACCTGGCCTTCCAGGACCTGGGGGCCTGCATGTCGCTCATCTCAGTCAGGGTTTTCTTCAAGAAGTGCTCCACCACCATTGCCAATTTCGCTGTCTTCCCTGAGACCGCCACGGGTGCAGAAGCCACCTCCCTGGTCATCGCACCAGGGGCCTGCGTGGCCAACGCCATGGAGGTGTCCGTCCCTCTCAAACTGTACTGCAACGGGGACGGAGAGTGGATGGTTCCGGTGGGCTCGTGCACCTGCGTTGCCGGCTATGAACCCGCTGGAGAGAATACGCAGTGCCAGGGTAAGAGGACGGGACTTTCACCACACACTGACCTTTCACAGTAAAGAATTGCTTTGACTTAAAACTGACAAACAGTTGATCCTAAAACCTAGAAATATCTACAGACAAGATCAGAAGTTTAAAATGAATTTCCTTGGCAATTTATAGATTTGCCTTTAAATTGGGTTGACTTGGGTCAAATGTTGTAGGTTTTCTTCCACAAGCTTCTCACAACAGAGTAGAACTTTGACTCATTCCTCCTGACAGAACTGCTGGAACTGGGTCGGGTTTGTAGACCTCCTTGTACACACGCATTTTTTCAGCTCTTCCTACAAACTTTTCAATGGCCACTCCAGAACACGAACTTCATTGTCCTTAAGTTACTTTGTAAGTAATCTAGTGTCAGCTTAGGGTCCTCATTCCAAAGACCCATTTATGCCAAAGCTTGAACTTCGTGCCTGATGTCTTGAAATGTCTCTTCAATATTTCCGCATAATGTTCTTATATTATGTTGCCATTTACTTTATGAAGTGCACCAGTCCCTCCTGCAGCAAAACACCCACACAACATTATCACATTCTTCATCTTGTGCAATCTTCCCTCATTTTCCCTCCAAAAGTAGCAATGGCCCTTAAAGCCAAACACTTAGAGTTTAGTTGCATCAGACTGCAGCAGTGTCTTCCACCCTGCTACCCTGTATGTCTTAGATGCTTCCCTTCTTCAGCACATTGATTTCAGTTGATGGGCCATTAACAGACTCTTGCTGAACTGCAGCATGTTGTAGGGAAACATCTACAACATGCAGGGCAGAGGGAGGGCCTTGAGAACCAAGGTTGAGAAACATCTGGACTAGAGGACATGTCTCCAAAAATGAAGGATTTTGTTTCTGACTGCATTTGCCAACTTTACACTGGCTTTTTTTTTCTTTTTTTTTTTTTACCTGGCTTTTGGAACACTGAGCTCTTCCTCTCTTCAGCCTTTCTTTTCACCGTAGATAATAACAGCCTCTTCTTTTGTTTTGTTCCAAAGTTAAAAAGTTCAGTGATCTTAGTGTCTTAAAACTTCAGAGTTTGTTATTCTGGCATTTAGCAAATAGAAATAGTTGTTGTAATCATAACTGATCTAAGTAAATAAATAGAAAAATCTAATTTCTGAGGTATGGATGTGACCTTCAGGAACAAATGCAAACATCTGGTGTATTTCTACTTCAATCCTTTTTCTATAACGTGTTTATTTAATATTAATACATTTAATAGAATAAATACCTACTGAATGTTATAAGTAGAGTTTAAGTGCTTATCGCAAATAATGTACCTTATGCTGTGTTACTATGTCAATAGCTTCATAATAGCCGTGAGTAGGTTTCTTTTAGATTCCATATCATTAATGATTTTTAAACTAGACACATTTCCTAAGAGGTTTTTTTTCCTTTCTTGTGAAGGAAACATTCAGCTTCCTTCTGTCTGCCTGCTGACTGGAAGTGAGTAGCAATATGTAGGGGAGGGAGCAGCGCTGCATTACACTATGATCCACAGAGGAAAAGAAATCTCACTTTCTTTGGGTGGAAGAGCTTTAAATTGAGGGAATGATGCAACGAAATATTATTAACTTTTAGGTCCCGCTAAGAAAGAGACTTTTAAGTGTGTCTGCAAATGTTCAGGCTGTGCATGCACACGGTTTTGGAGTTTTACGTAACTAGAAACGATTGTTTTTAAAACATCTTTAAAACCAACATTAGAGTGAATAAATTTCAAAATGACGCTTTCATGTGTCATATTTTTGTTCTTTCTAATCGATGATGTCATAGCTCCATCTCTCTCTCTCTCTCTCTCTCTATCCCGCTTCCTGGCGCCGATCTGTGTGTTTCTGTCGTTCTCTGGGAGTGCTACAGCGCTTTCTGGCGCCACATCCTGTCGTGTGGACTCACATTTTTACAAAAAAAATAAAAAATACCGAGCTCCTCTCTCTGTGCGCAGGGAATCATACTGTCATATTATAAAATTGATACTTGATAAACCTGCAGTATGTAACTTATATAAAATGTGTTTTTGTTTTTTTTTCATTTTTGCATATTTGTTGAAACTATCACTATGTTGTGACAGTTTGGTATGAGACAATCTGTGAAAAAAAAAAAATCAAGCTCCTCTGCCTTCTCCCAGTTCTAACTAGAAACAGCCAATCAGAGCTAGGAGGCGTGTCTTAGCGCTGTCAAACACAATCTTGTGTAGTGCTGCTCATCCCCCACCCCCTCTACCTCTTTGCTCTCTGCTATGCTGCAACTTCTTCCTGACTCCAGAGCCTGTTGTGAATGCTCAGACTAGAAAAAGAGAAATTTAAGTTAGTTGAGTTACTTCTCTTAAATTCAAATCACATTTAAGCATTTGTTTTTCAGTGTCTTGTAAAATGACAACAGTTCAGTAAAATATAGGTTAGGGTTTCAATTCTTGCTCACACTCCCCTTCAGTAAGTGGCGGTAATGTAAACTAAAAGCTGTTTGCCAACAGCCAGTAAAATTAAAAGAGAAGAAGATGCTAAGGCTAGTTAGCATAGCCACAGATGCTATGGTGCTATGGCGGATAAACGTTCTTTCTGTTACAGTAAGTCATCTCTCCACCTTTAGACATGATGTAAACATTTTTTTTATAAAAGTTACGTACCGCAGCTCTAAGCGGACCATGCCCTGTACAGTATTTAACTTTTATTTTTATTCGTTCTGACTTTTGTTCAACTGCAGCTCCTTTGTATGCTCAATGCAAGTCACCTCAGCCTGTGCCCTCTTCTTCGCATTTATTGTGTGGCTCCTGAAAAGGGGGATGCGGGGGTGAAGAAGGAAGAGGGGGCAGGGGAGGAGTATGAATTAATGAGGTGTTGCAGAGAAGAGCCGCATACAAATATTGTGCAAGCGGGACAGGAGGGAGAGAAAGATAGTCGGACGGCACAAAACCGAGAGCCAATACATTTTCGCGAGGCAAACGCAGATAATAGAACGGGAAGATGAATCCCAGAGAAGAGAGATAGCGTTGGGGAGGGAGAGGCGGAGAATGGGGGGGGGAAGCTGGGGGCGAGGTGTGAATTGCCAAAGCGCGGACAGAAACAGCTGCTAAAAGGAGGGGAATGAAAATGGCAACTGGCGGCAGGAAGTCAGAGACGGCGCACGCGAAACCTTCTCTCACCTGGGCGTGAGAAATGGTGTTGAAGACGCGCCGGAGAGCTCATTCGTTGCCATTTGGCTGCTCAAGGTTAAAAGCTTGCCGCCGAAGCCTGATAAAAAGCTCTCCAGGGCCTCAGCCAGAGCTTGTGATGAGGAAGTGTAATTTCCTCGGCGGCCTACCCGTTAGTTAATCTACAGGCGGCCACGCTCATTAACACCATTCAGACCAACGTGAGCCAACACCGCCACGCTGACATTAATCACTCAGACGTTTCATTTCTTACCTCCGTCTGGCCGCTCCGAGCCAAACGCTGCATGAGATAGAGGGAGGAGGAGAGGGGAAAAGACAATAGAGGGAGATATGGAGGATCAAAAACAGGAAAATCACCGTGCCCTCCAAAGAGGTTAATGGATTAAAACAAGACAGAGAGAGAGAGAGAGAGAGGGGGGGTGGAGTGACTCAGCAGACACTTGAAAGAAATGAGAGGAAAATAAACTAAAGGAAATAATGGTGGGCTATGTTTCATGCAGAAGGAAACAAGGATGCTGAGCGTTTTTGTTCCGTTGCAGTTTTGGTCATTTTCCAAAGTTTTGGGTACAAAATGGAGATGGCCGGACATTTCATGTGTTATGGATCTACGAGTCTGTGTCCTTCCTCTGTCTCTTTGCACACTGCTGCAGCTTACATAACCTTGACATACAAGACTGGCGACAGTCATACATATATAAACAAAAACTGACTTGCTGAAGCAAAGCTTGTAGCAAAGCTTTGCTTCAGCTTTGCTTGAGATGCTATGCTAAGCTTTACTGAAACTTTGCTTCTGCAAAGCTTGTAGCGCCCTTAAGTGGACGGTAAATGTCACTCTGTAGATCCATTTGTATAACTTGCAACATTTGATTATTTTTGGCCTGTTTTATACTTATATATTTCTAACCTAGATGAAGTGCAATTACTTGACTGTTATACCCAAGTAAAAAATTTTGAGTATCCTTACTGGAGTATTTATTCTTTGGGGAACTTATGATTCATTCCTTTAAGCTCAGCATAGCCTGTAGTGCGCTGTTGCTGTTTATTGTCACTGAAACGTTTGTAAAAATGTTGTTACGGTTCAATAGAGGAGTCATGTTGTGATGACTTCCTGAAGGCACAGAACAGGAGCCTCTTAAAGAGACAGAGACCCAACTTCAAGGCGTTAAATTAAATAATTTTTGATGTACGCAGCATTTTTATAACAACTGAAGTTAACGTAGCTACTTGACTCTGCTATAAAATGCCACTATATGCCTCGAAAATATATAACACTACCCCCTTAAAGTTTTTGCAAGTGGTGTAGACATTTTGTAGCAGAGTGGTTCTACATGTCAGTACGTTGTTTTAGCAAGTTACAAGGTTTTGTAAAAGCACTCGGAAAACAATACAGGGATGTATCTTCTAGTGTACTTATGAATACTGAAATATTTTCAAAACTAAGTACTTCAGTGTTTTAACTTGAGTAAACTTTTACTCAGATATAGTTGAGTATTTTGTCCACCACACTGACAACCGACGATTTAAAGTAACTTTTCTTAATCTACTGTAAAATATCCTTACTTCCTGCCTGGGCTCCTCTCAGGTGTTTCCTGGTAGCTCTGGGAGGTTCTAGCTACGGCCTCCATTGTAGCTACCTGGGTGAGGCTGTGATGAGGCTGGGCACTGTGTGGATCCCGTGCAGTCCTCTCTTTTGTTCCTGCCTCTGTGCCCAGGGCCGCTTGGCGGGGACTGGTGGTGTGAAGAACCCATTGGCGGTGTCAGTGGCTGGCCTGTTGCTCCGTGGGGGGCGTCGGGCCAGCAGTGGGCTGTGGGGATTGTGCTGTGCTCTGGTGGGAACCCCCCTTCCTCTTTGCCTCCCCGGGGCGGTCTCACCAGACGGGATGGCACTCTGCCCTTCCTCCCATGGCGCTTTAGCGCTCTAGCCGCTGCGGCGGGTTAATGGTTGGGGGCTGTGGGGCAGTTTCTCCTCGTCAGCACTGACTGGTCTGACTGCTGATGGGCTGTGTGGGTGCTTGACCGCTGGGATGACCAGCTTCCAAGTTGCAGTTTATTTTTACATATTGGACCAAGATGGTCAACTTATAGTGTTTGTCAGTTTCTTTATTATTTATTTTAAATGAGCTGTTCTACTCCTAATTGTACTGACTGAACTAATTATAGTTGTTTTTACATGTTCAGCCAAACTTGTGAAGCTATTGGTGTATTTTAGTGAGCTGTTCTGGTGCAGAGTTACAAAATTAGTTTGTAATTCAGTACATTTATGTCTGTGTTTAAAAAAAAGAAGAAACATTTTAAGTCAGTTCAGCAGTTTTTCTTTTTCAGATCGGTGTCAGTCGATCCTGAACCTCAGATATTGGTACTGGAAATGAATAAGTGGATCGGTTCATCTCTGTCCAAAAACATAGCTGATAGCTTAACTCGTCTCTCTGAGCTGGCTGGAGGTGCGTGTGTGTGTGCGCGCATGGTTGGTTGTCCTGTGTCTCTGTGTTGCCCTGTGATCAACTGGTGATCTGTCCCGGGTGAACCCAATAACTGCCCCAATAACCGGTGGGGCCAGACGCCAGCTCCCCTCTGACCCAACAAGGAGAAGAAAACAACGGGCAGATGGATAAAACAGAAACAGAATCCTTTAGGATTAACTCTCAACTCTATTGAAATCTTGTGCTTTTCGGGATCATAAATATTTCCAAACTTGGAAATTTGTTAGTTTTAAGTGAGAAAAAAAAGTGAAGTGGCAATTTTTTAGCTAACTGATTTTCAGTGTGCAGCAACAGGTGGGGCAGAGGCAACATGGTGCTGCACACATTTTTATCAAGTAATTTTGCCAATAGATTGTTAACTACATGCTTTTTTTTTTACACTATTTTCTATAGGAATTTAATGTTCCATAAAATAAAATATTCAAACAGCTAAAAGTATTTTTTTTTTGTTCTTTAATTTAAAGATCTAAAATTTTGTGGTGCTAATTTTAAAATATTTACAAGGAATTTTGCTATTTTTGTGCTTACATATTACCTGAAATGTGGACTATAACTTGACATAAAGAAAAGTCATGAGAATGGACTAGTTTGACTCGAATATTGTCAGATTCAAAGAATTAAATTAGCTGTTTATTCAATGTTGAAATTTCGTCTGATTTTCTCAGATTTTTGCGTGTCATACTCAATGCATTCAGCTTTGCTGTCATTAGATTATATATTATTTTACTTTTGCAGGTTCTGCAGTAGCTTAATTAGAGAAAAAAATAAACTGTTAATTAATAGTTACAATGTATGGTTTCTGGTAGAAAGGGACAAAATTGTAAGATGAACTAAACTGGAGCTGGAAGTGTTGGGACTGAAGTTGACCTGTAGTTTGAATATAAAATTGTGGAAATTGGAGTTGCGAAAATAAATTTGCTCAATGGAAACACGGCAATTTTGAAAAGAGTTTTTTCGTGAAAACGTTTCTGCAGTAGTATAAGATGTTTTTTTTTTAATTAGTGTATTTCAGAACACTGCAATAGAAACACCTTTTTTTTCGTGTCACATAATCGACAGGCGGATGTTACTGCTGACAGAAACGACGAAGAAGACGATGACAGGAAGTGGCCGGAGGATGATGGTTTTTAATGACTTCTGGTGTGAACAAACTGATTCACATCTGATTTTACTCACGTCTCTTATGTAACGGGAACACCGCAATTGCAAAATTGCGTTATATTTTTCAGCATTAGTTTTGCGCATATTCGCAGTAACTCGGTTACTGTTGTGAGTTTTATTGCGTGACGCCGCAGCGGGGCTGTTAGCTGTTGGATTCTCTAATCATGCCATTGTTTTGACTTTGGGTGGAGCCGAAACTGAAAGCCCACTTAGCCTAACTACTTAATCACTCTCTCCTCTCTCTCTTTCTCTCTCTCTCTCTGGGTTTTATGAGCAGTCACGCTGACAGGACAGATGTTTGCCAGACTCCCCCACTTTTACACCACCGGTTAGGAATGTGGTGAACAGTAAAACCAGCGGCTCCCGAGGCAGATCTATCCAGACCTTTCGCTGCTAATCCCCTTTATCAGAATCCTTCTTTAGTCTGGGCTTACGCCGGTTTATCCTTAAGACTCCATATCAGCCAACTTTCAGCCCGACACTTAGGAATTTAAATTAATCTCTTGGACACATCGCCTCAGATTACCGCACTTTGTATACTCTCCTCATAACTCGGCTGAGCTAATTCATGTCTGTTCTGATGTCCCTTCATTTGGATTGATTTATGGGCTTATTATGGAGCGTCTTCTGCATGCACGCCGAGGCCCTCGTTTGTATTCAGCGGCGCGGTTTTGGAGAGCCGTGAGGAGCCGGGAGACACTGATTGATGGGTTCGGGGTGGATCCCTTTTTTTTTTTTTTTTTTTCTCACACAAGCATTCTCCATCCTTGTTTTGTCTGACAACAGCAATCTCCTGTCAGCAGTCGGTCTTCATCTTTATCCCCCTTCTCCTCATCTTCAACATGAAACTTTGCTGTCATCGCGACTATATGTTCGGGGAGATTAATGTCACCGAGCACAGAGGATGAAAATGAAAAAGCAAATGCAAGAAAAAAAAAAAAAAAGCACAGATAAGTCCCTCTGCTTAAGCGCACGCCGATGCGGATGCTTCTTTTGTAAATGTTGAGCTTTTTTTGCAGGTGCATCGAAGGATGCGTCCTGATGTGACAGCTGCTGGTCTTCCAGATAAGCGACAGCGGCGTTTTGTTTTCCCCGCTTCTTATCGTCCTTTCCCGTTTCTCTCTCTCTCTCCCTCTCTCCCCCTCTCTCTCTCTCGTCCACCCAGCTTGCATCCCCGGGACTTTCAAATCCAAATTCGGTGAGGGGACGTGCGCTCCCTGCCCGGCCAACAGCCGCACCAGTTCACGAGGAGCAAACATCTGTCCCTGCCTGAACGGCTTCTACCGCGCCGACAGCGACCCGCCGGACTCCTCCTGCACCAGTGAGTGACGCGCCGCCGCGCAGAAAATGACTGGATCTGAATAGAAATGTTCACAATCATCAGTGAGGTTCAGTTGAAAGAGTATAAGCACTTGGTTTTATCTCACCTTTATATGGACCTGCTTGTTTCTTTAGTAAAGGTGGTGGTGATGATGATGATGATGATGATGACGACAACATAGGTCGTCATAGCTAAATGCAAGTATTCACCAGATTGAGAAATAATTAAAAAACTAGAGTAGGGATGCACCCATTCACTTCTTTCACATTTGATACCGATATCTGAAGCTTACTGATCCAAATCCAAAAGTCTTTTCTACTTCTGGCAGGATATTAACTGTTTAACCGTTTAACAGAAAAATCACCCATTAAGGTTTTCTCTGAAACTTTGCAGTAAAAGTCACCCAGCTTACAAAAAGCCATTATACATTCAGCTTCTGCAGCGGCTGCATAACATCAGAAGAATTCAACGTTTTCATGACCATATTGTCAGGCGCTATTGCCACCCTTCACTCTTCTGTCTCTTTTCTTTCTTTTCCTTCATCACTCGCTCCCAGCGAGCTTTAGAATCTCAGCCACTGAAATTATTAAACAAGTGTTGGCATCGACGGCGGTGCAGATCCAGCCAACAGGCCAAATATATTATTGGCATGCAGAATTTGCATACATGCCACTTGAAATATAATATCCTACCAAACATTGCGTCCAAGCGGTCCTTTGTAATTGGGATATTGCACAAGTGGATAATGAGACAATCACCGTTTCACATACAGTGCAGATCTAGTTTCAGGCCCGTAAAATATAAACTTTTTTTTAAAATTCACATTTTGCCAAGTTAATTCTCCTGAAGTATTAACTTGAATTCTGTGTTGTGACTTAGTTGTTGGGTCATGTTAGCTGTAGTGTAATGGCGCAGATAAATCACAGTTTGGCAACTTCCCTGGTTTTGAGGTCACTGGTCTGCCTGAACATCGCAGAGCAGCAAAGAGAAGCAAATGCCAAATTTATTCATTGCATTTAAAAAAAAAGAAAAAAGCAGAAACCCTATGAAAATAAATAAAAACTATGAAAGATAAAGAGAAGGATAGAGATGGGACGCTTATGAGCAGAGCAAGGTCGGATATTTTTCTTTTTATAAGTGAAATCAAAACTGAGCCCTACAGGCCTCGTCTCGAATAAAATCATATGCTAAGCCCAGAATTAAATGTTATAAAATAAGTTTTTCTTCAGTGAATTTGTCCTCGTCCACAAAGTAAACCGAACTGGATAACTTATTAAATCAGTTAAGACCTAGCGATGTATTTCACAGCATTTATTAGATATGGCCTGCTGGTGCAAAGCAGACAAATTATGATCCTTTTTGGCTTTCCATATGTGTACCAAATGCGTGCCACAGTTGCCTTCGCTTCCTTGGAAACCAAAAATGTTTTTTTTAAAAACTTCTAAACAAGAAGCTCCAGCAAACCATCATCTGCCTTTGTTGCATTGTTTTATTGTGTAGGGCTGTAGAAATGTTCTACTTATTGTTAGTTAGTTTTTAATATTTTTTTCTCAAAAAAAAAAATATATATTTATATATATTTTTTTTTTTTAGAGAAAACGCCAATATATTCTGAATAGCAGTGATCACCAATAAACGGGTCTATTGTTGATTGTACACATTGGGCTATAATGTCTGTTTTTGTTCTCTACAAGCTAGCACAAATAAATCCATTAACTTTGTTATTGAAAGAACAAAAACAAGAAATCTCACCAAGTGCATTTGGTCTAGTTTCTACTACACATAAGTTAGTACACTTGAAATAAGATAAAATCTTGCAGATAGATTTCCAGCAAGACATAGCAGCTTGTTTTAGTCAATTATATCCCTAATATTAACGATAATATTCCACTGGCAGATTATTTCATTTATAATTAATTTCCCATTTCCACTGGTGGAATAATCTGCCAGTGGAACTAGTAGTTTTTATATTAAGGAATTTTTAACTTTAAGCAATCTCCTTCATTGTGCTGAAAAGTTGGTTGTATGTTAGTTTTGTTTATTTCAAGTGTGCTGAGATTTTTGCTGTAGAAACTAGACCTACTGGGTAAAACGTTGTGTGTTTGCAGTTCCTTCTGAAACAATCCACTTTAGCTCCTGTGTTTTTTCTCTGAAATTTGAATTGTTTATGAGTACACAGATGTGTTACTTCACCTCATGTTTTTTTACGCCATTTTTGTATATGTCACATTGTTGCTGGAAGAAAAGAGCCAACCAAAAAAAAAAAAAAGTTTGAAAGCAGCACATGATATGTAGAACTCTGACACAAAAAGATACAGTAAATTCCCCCAAATTAGTATTTACTCACAAATGTCTACATTTTCATCAGTTAGACTGATTCCCAAACTATTTGCATTTGCATATTTGCTCCTAAATACTTTACATCTGTCTAAGTATGAAGGAGCAGCTGCTCACGGATGGTTTGAGGTAAGGTAGTCTGAAGTACACTGGTTAAAAACAATGTGACTCAAATAAAAGGTGAGAAAATATTGTCATTATTACTAATAATAATGTTAGAGTGGACCCTTTCAAAACAGTCCATACTTTAAATTCAGTTTGGCTCTAAAATGGTAAACCCAAACTGACTTCTTACTTCTAACTTGCTTCTAAATCAGAGAGTCTGTGCATCCTAAAAAATTCTTAAATTGATGCATCAAAAATTAAGGCCTTAAAATGTCGTAAATTCCATAGAAAAATGTAAGTTGGTGCAACTTACGTTTATCACAGTTCTTAAATTTTGTGGTGGCAGGATTATTTCATCATGTATGCTACGCACTGCTTTTCTCTCGTGACTTTTCTGTCAGACAAACCTTTGAGTCATGTGCAGACATCTTCATTCACTGCATTCTCGTGGCGGTTGATGCTACCGCTAAGTAGCTTCTAACAAAACCTTGCTACCTAGCTTAGAAACCTAGCTGACTAGCAAGGTTAAATTAATTTGTCTAAAGTTGAAATGCATTAGCTATTTATCTAACTTAAATTAAGCTAACTGGCTAGCTTAAATTAATGTATCTAAAATTAAAATACAATAGCTTTTTAAGTTAATTTCAGATGCATTAGTTTTTGCCTTTATCATGGAAGTGTAAAATTATTCCAGTTGTCTGGAAGACGTTTGTCTTCACCACTGGCTCACTTCTGTTGCTTGCCTATAATGATGCTACATTCAGTCTGTGCAAATAAGCTTGGCACTACTACTACATCAAATATGCCATTTTCTTTTGTACTGTTCCGTGGTGATACAGGTCTTAAATGTCACTCATAATCATCTTAAAAAGGTCTTAAATTTGAGTTGTTGAAATCTGCAGAAAGCCTGTAAATGTCAGCATTTGAATGTGAAGGACTTGCTTTAGCGGTAAGCAGGCGGCTGTGCTGCTGGCAGCAGCGCGGCCTGCTTGTTCCACCAGTCCCTCCCTGGCCGTGCTGATTTAGAGCGACATGAGCTGCTAAAGTTGAGCCCCAGGGGCCTTTCGCCACGTTAAATGACACACACACGGCCCGCAACTGTCTCCCCCAGATCCTCGTCACAGGAACACTGTGGACTGTGACACTGACCAGCGCACGCTGACAGGCGGGCAGGGACACAGCCACCACCTTCCACTAGAGACACACACACACAAACACGCATGCGGGCGCGCGCGGGCTTGACAGTCCTGCCTCTGCGGTCTGTCAGAGCCGGTGCCAGGGCCGCCTGCGTTTTGTGTTTTTGAAGCTGCGCATTGCACAAGAGAAGGCGATGGATGGCAGCTTGGACTCAGCGTGTGTTTTAGACGGGTGTCCAATTAGAGGAGCTTCCACTCTGAACTCCGTCTGCCTAATTAGAAAGGATGGGGCGAGAGAAATGGCCGCTCAGGGCATGGCAGCTGAGGAGGTGGACTCTGTGGAGAGAGCCGTTCGCTCTCTGGCTGCAGTGAGACGGGCTGGATGCTCCGCTGCCGGGAGCCGAGAGGCAGAGCACCTTAATAAGATGAAAAGCCTGTTTGCACAAGTGATCTTTGTTGCTTTCCTCGGCGCTTATCGCACTTTATCCTGATTTCAAGCGCTCTCTCTCTGAAAATACTGCGCTGCTTATAGAAACACGATGGCCCTGGGTCACACTGACTCACAAACAGGAACTCTCTGTCATGAGCAGATTAGCTATTTCAAACTGACAAGGGGTCAGCCAAGCTATGCTTGAGCATGACAGTTTATATGAATCACATCAGAAAAAAATAAAAAAGTTGAACGTTGCTTTATTTTCAAGCCATTTTTTTGTTATTGTCGGAGCCTGTTTAAAGTAGAGATCCACCACTCCCATTGGAACTCAGGGGTTTGAGGATTTCAGTTTATTTAGCTCCCTAAACTCCATGACTACCAGGCAACAACAATAACAACAAGGATTTCCTATAAACTCATCAAAACTATCATTTCTAAATGAACCTAAATAATCATGCTAGTAGTTTTTTTGCGCATAAACTACCAGCCCTAATGAAGACGCCATAAGATTTACCTCCTGCCTTTACGTAGCAGGTATAAAGCCCTGGAAACCAGCGATGCTAAACCTCAACCAATAGCTGAGGTTTATCGTTGGCCGATACCGATCAGATGCAGAAAAACAGCTGAATTGACTTAAAACATTTCTATTTTTAAACACAGACATAAAAGTACTGAATAAGTAATGTTTTTGATAACTCTACAGCAGTGCAGTATCAGTTAGATACAAATAGCTTCACAAGTTTGGTCAAACTTGTAAAAACAACTTTCATTTGTTCAGTCAGTTAGCTTGGGAGGCTAACAGACAATGGAAATAAATAAAGAAACTGAAACAGGCAATTATGAATTCTAAATATAATGTAAAATAAATAATAAAGCGTGATGTCGCTCAGAGCACAAAGCATAGACTTAAACTGAATATGGATCAGGTACATTGTCACAGATACCCGATCTAGAATTTTTTTTCAATATTGGGACCGTTACAGATATTATCATATCGGTGCATCTCTACTTTGAAACTGCCTATAACCGTGTTTGCATAGCCTTCTGTGTGTTGGAGTGTGTTGTAGAAGAAAACATTGTCTCTCTGACTGGTGGTTCCCTGCAGCCTCTGGGGCCAAATAGTCTGGATTTATGCTAAATAAAGATGCTGAAGGAGGTGGAATATGATCCCTTTTACCCTCTTTAAGACATTTCTGTACATGTTATGTGTGTATTCTCACTAAAGAATGTCAATATTGCACTCCACCTCTGTTATACTCTATTTTCTGCTCACATGCTACCTATTGTTCCCTTTTTATAAAGCTGTTAAAACAGTTTCTTTAACCACCAGGGAGGATAATGTCAGCGCTGCACCAGGAGGATGACTAAACCCTCACTTGTGTGTTTTAGCACAGCCTGCCCACCTTCTCCAGTGCCCACACACGTGTGTGTGTGTGTGTGTGTGTGTGTTTCTGTGCAGCCATCCCCTTGGCCCCTCGCAACGTCATATCCAGCGTGAACGAGACCTCCTTGTCCCTGGAGTGGGATGAACCCATGGACACGGGCGGGCGGGGGGACCTCGTCTACAACGTGGTGTGCAAGAAGTGCCTGCGCGACCTCAGCCCCTGCACGCGGTGCGACGACAACGTGGACATCGCTCCGCGCCGCCTGGGCATGAGGCAGAGGAAGGTGGTGGTGAGGAACCTGCAGGCCCACACCCGCTACAGCTTCGAGGTCCAGGCCGTCAACGGCGTGTCCGGGAAGAACCCGTCCTCGCCCAACTACTCCACGGTCAACATCACCACCAACCAGGCCGGTGAGTAAAACCCCGTCGCCGGCCTGATTCACGGCGGAGCGCCGATCAATACCACTTAGCATCGTGGTAGTACAGGCTGGTTAAAGGATCCCGCTTTCAGTCAATGTCAATGAGCTTCCTAATGAGTGTTGGGTATCAACAGAGGTTCTAACACGGAGAGTAAACAGTGTGGAGGAAAGCTCATTGAGAGTGACAGTTGGACAAATGCCGGGCTGCAGCTCTGCGTTTCTGGGACAGTTCTCAGGAAGAGGCAGATAAATTCTGCTTTATATCCCCACTGTCAGCACTCGGCAGACTAAGCAGGTTTCTTATCATACGTCTTGACAAATGTCACCTTCCAACATCGCCACTTAAATATATGCAACATCATCATCAACCAAACTGTTCAGGGGGGCCTCTCCCAGACGGCAATTACTCTCCCAGTTAACCTGCACTTAATCACCTCACTGCAGTATATATGAGCCCAGCTCAGTGACTATCAACTGAGTCAGGCGTCACAAATCAATAGGCTGCAGAACAGTAGAGGTGAATCATCTACTTCCTCTCCCAAGCTGATCGGGATTGAGGTGGGGAAAGTTTGAACATTTATCATCTTTCTGTTTCGGTTCGCTCCAAGTACCAGGTGTTCCCACTGAACAATAAACACGATTTCAACAGCCAAGGTTCATTTAGAATGTATTTAGACATGACTCAAAGTTAAACCTACACACAAGTCTGATTTAGGCCTAGTAGTCCACATGTGGCCGGATATCTGGGAAAACAAATGCCTTTTTAAGCGTTTTGGCCTTCCGATCATACGAAAAAAACTCTCTTTATTATCACTGAAAACAATTGTTTATAAAATAGTGGAAATTTGAGAGAACTCTGTATTTGTGTGTGCGTGTGTACAAGGAAGAACATTTTAATAGCTTTATAGTCTAATAAACTGTTTTAAAGTAGTTCAACGTGTGTGTGTGTGTGTATACACACACACACACACACACACACACATATATATATATATATATGTTGCCACAATAACAAAAGCCACAACACAAGATATGCTAAAGCAAAAGGTAACAGAAGTTTTGCTAAAATGTAAATTATGCTAAAGCAGAACTTTTGCTATCATGGCACTTATATTAAAATGTTAAAACATAATTTATGCTAAAACTGAAGTTATGCTAAAGCAGAAGGTAAAATGTTAAATATTTTGCTAATATGCGAGTTAGCTTGGCAAAAAGTGAAATATTAAAATAAAAGCTGGTTCTTGCGTGTTAGTTGACAACATAGGACTTGCAGGGACGGCCAAGATGGCGGACTGAGTAGACGCTGTCTCCCGAGGTCTGTGCAAAAAGGTAATGAAACGCAGTAAAACTTTGACTATATTATTACTGACACTGTTATGCTAAAATGGATGTTATGCTGTTGTGTTGACCCTTTTGGGCCACCGTAGATTCCAAACCATGGCACCATTTATAAGTTATTGCCCATCAGGCTTACAGCAGATGTCTAAAACTATTCATTTTCTAAACTATCCTTTCAGAGGGAACATAGTCGTAACATCAGAGAACAAATTAGTGTTTTGTTTAGTAGCATTTGATTAAGAATAATCAATCTGGGTTTTATCATAACCACGACTTTATTCCAAAGTATTTTTAATGTGGCTCCTAATGTCTTTGCTGCTGTGACCTAATAACGTTGACCTATAATGTTTCCTCATAGGTGTGCATTCATTAACGGGGCAGCATTCCCTGGAGAGTTACCTTAAAGAGTGTGCTAAAATAATGAGATCACTGGAACTGATGAAAAACCCGACAAGAACAGGAGCGACTTAACATTATGGATTTATTGGATTGTTTCAAGAATTTTCTGCGTTTTTGTATATCTCTCTCTCTTTTTTGTCATTTACGTTTCTGTTCTTCTCTGTTGATTTTGCGCTCAGCTTCTATAACATCAACTTCCCGTTTCCTAATAGCAGCCATGAATTCTTCACTCATTATCTTCTGCTGTGCGTTTCCTTCAGCAGATTTTCAGTTGTCAGATGTCCATCCATCTTCTGCTGTGTGTTCCTACGTTGATTAGTATTCTTCCTGGATTTCCAGCTATAAGTCCTTGCGCTACACTCTTACGGCTTTCTGCACCAAGTCAAATTTCAACCTCTTTCCATTTTAATCAGATAGAAACATTTTCTCTGCAGGGATTGTATTAATGAAACATAAACATGGACATTATGCTACAATTATGATCCAGAAATGTTTTAAATGCTTCAAGCCTGCGTCACCAGAACACAGTTGTGACTTTTTATTATCCCAGTATGATAAATGTTCAGTCCAGAACATGTTTCACTAAATGTAACAGGAAGAGAACCCTTTTTATTTTTTTTCACAGATTATCTGTCCCATACCGTGACAACAGACTGACAGTTTCAAACAAACATGGAAAAAATATGTTTTATAAAAGTTTCAGCTTTATGGTTCATATTATGAGAAACATAAGGACATTATTAAAAAATGTTTTTTAACTTGTTACTACAAGTTACCATGGTAACTTGTAGTAACACCATGTAAAAAGAAGAAGTCTGGAACCATTTAAGGTTGACTAAGCTGAAAATCATCAGATTTCAGTCCACAGCCATTTTTTCACTGCATCTGTGTTTACAACTTTGAAAGAAGCTCTTAGCAACTTTTAAGTTACATCACAGTGATATACTGTCTCTCTTGGTGACTCCCTGCAGCACCTTCAGCCGTGCCAACAGTCCATCTGATGCGCTCCACTGCAGACACCCTCAGCCTGTCATGGCTGCCCCCCGAGAAGCCCAACGGGGTCATCCTCGACTACGAGATCAAGTACCAGGAGAGGGTAAAAGCCCTGACATCACCACGTGTCACATTAAATGTTTAAATGAAGATTTACTACAACTTGATTGTTTTGAACACTAAGTGAGCATTGGAACGTGCTGCTGGGGGGCCGGGGATGAGGGCGCACATTTTAATTGCAGCAGAATCAAAGTCAGCAGCTGGTAATGTGTGCCTGCTGCATCATTAGCATTAATCAATTCCCTAAGAACAGCCTGCAGGCATAATGCAGCCAATTTGTAACCTTTGATGGTCAAACCTGAGGCTTTCCGACCCCGCTGCTGCACTAAAACAAGCTAACGGTCAACTTTAGCCACGTTAGCAGCTCCAGTTCGATGGTTTGCTCGGCCTTAAGGCCACAGAGCTACTGCTAACCCCGCAACAGAGAACATCACCGATAATACGTCATCGATTTGACATAATCGCTTCATCTTTTAAACCTCTATTTCAGGAGCTGTGATGTAAATAGTAAAATGGCTCTTATCGTGTTCATAGGGTAATTTGCATTAGATTAGCTTCACCGGAGGATTTTACATACCAGCGTGGCAGGTCCAGGCAGAGCGGCATTTTGAAATTAATTATGCGTCACATTTTTAAAAGACAAAACGAATACGAGTATGAATAATTCACTTATGATGTCGAGGGGGGGGGGCGAGTTTTGGTAATTGGATTTTCTTGTTAGAAAGACTTAACGAAAAACAGAAGTTATTGGATTTCTGCTTTAAATACAAAATAATATACAATTTAATCAGAAATCCGTTTTCTTTTATTGTGGTCAATAACATCAGCAGAAATGTAAATTTGTGATGAATTTATGATGAAACCATATTATCTCTGATCAGTGATCATTTTGCACTTACAAAGTGGGTTATGCTTCATCCAATAGGGGTATACATGTATACATATATGCATATATGTATACATTTATGTAATAAGATGAAATAATGCAAGATATTAGGTTCATGTGAACAGGACATGATCACATTTTATCAATGTTTGAGGGAACCAAAAAAAATCCTCTTTTATAAGCGAATAGAGGAAAGTAGGAGTGGGCATTTATCGTATCTTTTATTTATTGTGAAAAACTTTTTTATCATATTAAAAATGTTGATTTATTGTTGTCTTGATGCATTTCAATTAATGATAAAGCCAAAAAACTAAAATAATATCGGAAATGTTATTTTTACAATTTTCTCCACTTTGTCTCTTGAGGGTGTCAATAAATATCAGTAGATTAGAAAATATGATTGAATGTGATTACTGTGTGCAGTTCAGTGATAGAAATCTGACTTTTTGTGGCGTTACCATGACCTTACAGTTACCCCAAAAAAGAAGCAATAAATGATTTTTGTTTTAATTAGAGATGTGCTCAGCCATTTTTTTCCACTTCTGATACAAATATGAGGATTAGTATTAGCTGAGATCAATACAATAGAGAAAATGAATTTTTTACCTTAAAATGTCCCCTTTTTTTTAAACATAGACATAAATGCACTGAATTACAAATTAATCTGATAACTCTGCATCAGTATAGCTCAGTTAAATCCACCAACAGCTTCAGAAGTTGGTCAAGCATGTAAAAACAAAATTTGTTCAGGAGCTGTTCTAATAGGAGTAGAACAGCCAATGTAAAATAAATAGTAAAGGAACTGATAAAAAAATAGGTTGGCTATTTTGGTCAAACATATAAAAGAAAATGTAACAAACTTTCTTTCAAATGATTCAGAAAGAACAATTAGGAATTCTAAATATGTAAATTAAATAATAAAGCATAACGTCGTTCAGAACAAAGCATAGAATTAGTCTGAATAGATCTATCTTTATAGATCAGGGACATTGTCACCGATACCCAATCTAGAATTTTTTCAATATTGGGACTAATACAGTTATTATCAAATTGGTGCATTTCAAATTTTAAAGGTCCAATTTTTAGAAAGAATCTATTTTTTCATATATCTGTTAAAACTGTCACCATATCATGACAGTCTGTTATGGCACACAGTCTGATAGAGGGACCTCCTGTGTTTGCTGCTATCATCGTCTGAAGAAATGCACCGCTCCCGAACAAAAACAACCAATCAGAGCCAGGAGCGCCGTCAGTCAAACCTCATGTTCCCGCTGCTAAATGAGCTAACGGCACAGAAACAAGTTACAGGAAAACCGTTTATCTGCAGTCAGTGGTGGCCAAGGTAACTAGCATTAGCATTTATGACAGACTGTTAACTTCATCGTAGCATAAAGTGAGGAGAGAGGGAGGCAGAGTGGCATGAGCATGGCCATGATTGACTGCACTAAGCCACGCCTCCTGGCTCTGATTGGCTGCTTCCAGTAAGCTCTGGGAGAAAGGAGAGGAGCTCATGTTTTCTTCATACCATGCAGTCACGACATAGTGACTGGTTCAACAAAAATGTAAAAAAAATAATATTTTTAATAAAAAGTTACATTCAGCTTTTGATGTTTCTTTGTTGTTTCCGGTCAGGGCCAGGCGATGGCTCACACCGTCACGTCCCAGCACAGCTCGGTCAACGTGGAGGGCCTGCGGGCGGCCACGCCCTACGTGGTGCAGGTCAGGGCCCGCACCGTGGCCGGGTACGGTCGCTACAGCAACCCCATGGACTTCAGCACCAACCTGCACAGTACGAGCGCTTTCCTCCCTCCCTCTGCTGTCTGTCCTTGATGGTCTGCTGCCATAGCTTTTCCTAATGAAGGTTCAGGCTTAATAGCTTTTATGACCGACTTAATTGGTATCCATTACACATCCAGCTCCAGCTGCTCTTTAATCCGTCTGCTGGTATTTATTCGTATGTGTTTTACAATCCAGGTGACCCCCAGAAGTCGGTGCAGGACCAGCTGACTCTCATCATAGGCTCAGTCTTGGCCGGTCTGGTGGTCGTCGTTGCCTTGGTGGTTATCGCTGTTGTCTGCCTTAAGTAAGTGTTTGATTTTTTTCCCCTTTTCCATCCCTGACAACACGAACTACATGTTTCGCCGTGTTAATTAGACTTTGAACAAAGAGGCTCATTAAATTTTCAGATGAATTCAAAGGGTGTGCGCTTCCATGCAACTCTTGCCTCTTAAGCTCCAAGGAAAAGAAAGCAGCGGCGCTCTTCCTCGGCCTGGCTTCCCGGCTGATGTCGGAGCGGTTTATTAGCTCGATTTCGCCGCGCCTGGGAAAGAGCCGCAGCTGATTGTGTGAATGTGACTCTGCTCATGTGCTTGTTGTTTACAGGAAGCAGCGCAGCGGGTCGGAGCTGGAGTACACCGAGAAACTGCAGCAGTACAGTGAGTTTCTGTGTCCTTCTCCTCTCTGCTGCTGTAGTCATGCCAGTACAGTTAACCAACTGATTTGGTCAATTATCCAATCACCTGTTTTGAGTCAAAGAAGACATGTTCCTGTTAGCTCGGAGGAAGTCAGACCTCGCAGATGAAGCAGAGAGTTAGATGCATGTGCTGCCGGAGGGTTATTGATTATTGGGAGAAGAAGAAATAAGTCAAAGAGTGAAACAATGGTTTTTATTGATCTGCATTATTTCTGAGGAGATTTTAGCATGCACACAGCCTCTGCATTTCCATTGTTGCTGTTTGATTTTTTTTCTTTTTTTGCCTTAATTGTTTTTCTGATTTTTCCTCAACTGTGCCAAATTGAACAAACTACCCCCTAGTTTAGTTATCAACTAAACACTATAATTTGTTCAGATTAATGTTTACAACCAAAACAAAGGATTAAAAATATGAGAATGACCAATAAACTGCAAATTGTGATTTGAAAATTATGGAGTGCTGACTGTAAAGTTATGCAATCAATAATGAAGAGCAATAATTTGGGTTATTTAGCGGGAAAAAAAATGGAGGTACAAAGTTATATTTTCACAATGTTGTTCATGCATTTTTATATGTCGCAGTTCTAAATATTTAATCCACAAGCTAAATAATTATTTGTAAAACAATTTAGCTAGCTAAGAACGAAATAGTTAGCCTGCACACTAAATATTTATGGAGCTAAATTTATAGGGATAAATATTTACACATTTAGCATGCTAACTGTACATTTAGTTCGAAGTTAGCATGCTAACTGCATATTTAGTTGAAGTTAGCATGCTAACTGTATATTAGTTTGAAGTTAGCATGCTAACTACAATACAGTTTGTCACTGACAATTATAAATGACATGGTGAATTTATGACTTTAAAAAATTAAACCCCCTTCATTTTCTGTTCATTTTTGACTGTGCAGTTTTACAATGAAACCCATAAAAATGACCTATTTCTATTAGTTAGCTCTGGTGTTGCATTCAGTGACCACATTGAGAAGTTGTCACTAGTGATGTTGGCCTCTTAATGTGAGGCAGGCCATGGCAGGTTTATTTAAATAGCACCATTCATACCCAAAGCAACAATGCGTGCAACAGCCTGCTGTCGCTACATGTTGGTCCAGGAGGAGTGAACGCTGCAAGTCAGCGACTAGATGCAATCTGAGTTTCCTTAGATGGAAACTTTTAACCATTTAGATTAATGAACTAATCTTGATAACAATGAAGTATTTGAAATATGTGTAACTGACTTGGCATATGTCTGTATCAATAGATTTGATGGAATTTCTTCCCAAATTTTCTACAGATTTACACTGTTTTGAATTTGTGCTGCATAAACTGAATTCAATTGCCACTGTTTGACGAATGGCAGCAGTTCGCCAATTTCAAGTATGAGGAGTCACTGATGGTTTTTAAAACCTTGCAGCAATTCTGAAAAAAAAAATCCAACATTTTGTTGTGTGACCATTGTGTTGTACTTATATTTTTAGATTTTTCAGCACATATTCTGCGATGTAAACCACTGAAATATTTCATAAGTTTAAAGGTTTTGAAATTCATGTATGTCAGAAATGTGATTTTTCCACAATTCATACAGAGAGGCTGGGAATCAACTTGTAGGTGAAATCCAGACTGATGGTGACCCTTTCTTAACTTGGAGTGTTTGGAGTTGATGAGTTTTCTGGCCTCAGCTCCTCTCGGATCTGGAGAATTTCTTGGTCATTACCACAACATTTTAACAATCTGATCTTTTGTTTTCACTTATGCTCCATAACGCGCTGCTCTCCCGCATGCTGGCAAATCAACAGATCATGGTGTTCAAGTTGTTCCTGGATTGTAGGAAGACGACATTCTTGGAGGATGTTTTCGTTCCACTTTTTGTTCTTGGGCTGAAGTAAAACCACATGATAAGAAGCAACCACACACATGGACCGAATCAAGATGTTTCACTGTTGTCACAACATGGGGCTAATGGAAACGCTCATCTTTTCTGCATTGAGCATTGCATTGCATTTGATTTTGTCAATCTCCCAACAGTCACAAGGATCAATCAGGGAAATTCATTTTGACTGCTCGTCCTTCTACTTGTTCCCTTGTTGTCAAAGGCCGTTGTTCAAAAATTGCTGCTTTGGCCACTGCTGTGTGGAAACTGCTGGTATTTTCATGCGTTCATTGGGGAAAAGTTCCACATTTAGACAGCACTGCCAAAGAAGCACCTTCAATCCACTGTAGTTGTTATGCCAGGCCACTAGATGGCACTGTGATTTTGGCATGTCGTCGAAACGCATATGTGCTTTCGAACATTGGCTTCCGCCTCACTTACAAAAAACATTAACCAGTCTCTGATAAAACAAGTGCTCATTCTTATTGGAAGTTCTGCCATTATTTGTTGTCTTCCCATGCAACAAATCCTGTAGTCGTGCATTCTGCACATATGTGCCTTCACACCTTTGTAGAAAGTCTGTATCTTAGGGTGTTCCCAAAAAGACTTGGTTTCAAACAGTGTCAAACGCTGCATTTCCATTACAAATATATTCCGGGAATATATTTCTGGATATGTTTGTTTAAGCCTTGTTTGCTGATCATTAAGTTCCGGTTGGTCCAAAATAAAAAACATTCTTTAGGTTATTCATGCCAGGAGTTTCTATAATGCAATTTTAGCGAAATGCTTTAACACAGGAACTGTTTTTTGGGGAGGTAACTCAAGAACAAAAGTGATTCTATTGAACATGTGATTTCACCCGGATTCTTTCAAAACTCCACCTGTGCTGATAACATGATGATACGGAAATCCTATTGGCTGGCAGTTTTATTCCAGGACAAAAATGCTAAGAAAATGGGTTTATGTCACGAAGTAAACCTTTAAGCCAAAAAAAAATAAATAAATAAAAAAAATTGCTCAATGCAGCTTTCATTGGATTTTACCTTTAGCCTGTCAATAAGGAACCTTGTAGAGTTTCAGACATAAAAATGAGAAGCCGTTATAAAAATTCACAAAGTACATTACACTATTCACTCCAAAATGCTAATATAGAAATCAACTTTATTTATTTAACTTCAAATCTGACCACAGTTGTGTTTTCAGCGATCACTCTCAATGTTCCGCCTCCAATTATCCGGTACACATGCAAGGCTCTGATCTTTCTTTCTTGTTTTTCCTCCTAGTTTCTCCAGGGGTCAAGGTGTACATTGACCCCTTCACCTATGAGGACCCCAACGATGCGGTTCACGAGTTTGCCAAAGAGATAGACATCTCTTGTGTGAAAATCGAAGAAGTAATTGGTGCAGGTAAGCGCAGCAGCCGCTTTTGTTCGGGAGGAGAAAGAGACGGCTTTAGTTTGTTATTCCTCAGAGCCTCGGAGGAATAAGTCCTCTCTGGGAGAAAAAGGGATAGCATTCACAGTGCCCTTGAAAGCTGGAAAGTACTGACATGACTGTTACTTTTCCCCCTTCTAGATTGTTTTCTTTTCTCTTTTTATTTCTCTCCAGCAGCATGTTTTGTCCTGATGAGTCTGGTCCTGCTCACCCAACTTTCATGCATCCCTATGTTTTCTTTCTTTCTTTCTCTCTCTCTTACTTCCCTGTAAACATACTTGCTAGGCACTAGATGCAAAACCCTCAAGTACTTCGCCCATCCTCTGTCTCCCTGCAACACACCCAGGTTGCACCCTCGACCGATACCAGTCACCCCCTCTCTCCCCAACATCTTTGATCCTTGAATCCCCCCTCCACAACCCTAAGATTTCCTCTTCTTTTTTTCTAAACGTGTCCCACAGTTGAAGCCGACCCTCAACTCTTTCAAGTCAGCTCCTTCACACCCAAATCCGACCAGTAACTCTCCCTCTTCCTGCATTTCCCCCCAACTCCCTCTTTCCCGACACCTTCCCTCTGCTCACTCAACCCCCTCCCCACATCACCCTCCCTCCCTCCCGCCACTTTGTTCTCTTGCTGCAGGTGAATTTGGCGAAGTGTGCCGCGGCCGCCTCAAGCAGGCCGGCCGCCGGGAGATGGTGGTGGCGATCAAGACTCTCAAGGCGGGCTACACCGAGCGCCAGAGGCGAGACTTCCTCGCCGAGGCCTCCATCATGGGTCAGTTCGACCACCCCAACGTAATTCGGCTGGAGGGTGTCCTGACACGGAGCTGCCCTGTCCTCATCATCACTGAATTTATGGAAAACGGCGCGCTGGATTCCTTCCTGAGGGTGAGCATGCTGGGAGTTGCAAATTGCGGCACCTCTGACGGGGAAGATTACTTTCTGCTCGCATCAAAGCCGAAAGGAACACACACGCAGACAGTCAGCCACAGCACCTTTGGGTTATTGGAATGTTTTACTGCGTGTAAAACAGCCTGAGGCGCTCGCTTGCTGAGTGATAGACATTAAACGTGTAATAGAAAGCTTGAAGACAGGCATTGTGTCTTTGCTTGACGCGGCTGAGTGATGCTGACAGCCTCTTCGCGGCACAAGCTCCTGCTGGATAACTTGTCACACGCAGACTTTTGGATAAGTTTGCTTTGGTGTGTTAGAGAGTCCCCGTACAACCACTGAATACATTATCGATCAGAGTTGTCTGTACACACCAAACCGCCTACGCAAAATGTTGAACAAAGGCAGGATGAGAAATGAGATGTCACAAGGTACATTTCCAGCTGCGTGGGGGCTATTACATGTCATTTACATTCAATAACGCTCGTTTTCCTGCATGGCTGAACTTTGAACATGTCTACTCTGTGAAACTGGGGGGAAATGAGGCTGCTTCATGCTAGTTTTGTCTCATGTTGCTTGGCGTGATAACTGCTTTAGCTATCAGCAGCTTGGGTCAGGGGTGTTCTGGAGATTCAGGAGTCTTGACATCTTCCAGCTTGTTTTGATTTATTTCCATTTCATTGGGTTCCATTCCATTTGCTCACAAATAAAAGCATGTTTCCACCCAGGGATTTCATGTCCGCCTCCTAATTCAGTAAATCATTTTAAAATACTTTAATCATATGAATATTTTATGGTCTTAAGTGGAAATAAGGACAATCGTTTTCCCTCTGAATCGATAACAGATCCAGGAGCCCAGCCAAGACGCCTGTTCATGCATATTAGATACATACCGAGAAGTGTAATGCAGGCATGTTACCACCATCTCGTGGTCAGAGTGGTCATTTATTTAATTACTACTATGCCCACTTATGCCTAGTGCTGCAAAATTGCATCATGCTTTCATATATATTCCATGCATGTGCTTTATTGAAATGAGCAATTTGTTCTTAACTCTGAATCTGCCTGAAGGTAAAAACACATACACATATAGATATGTCAAATTCAGGAATGAAGGATTGAAAAAACAAGGTGGTGCCTGGGCTGTGGTGTATGCTCCCATTGCACACATCTGTCAGGCTTTGTTTATTACATATCTGTGAATGTTACAAACATCATCTGACTTTTGGGTGACGATTACGTTCTCGTTTCTCAGTGTAAATGCTGCGAAATGATTCACACTTTATGGCCAAACTGCAGTATTTTTAATCCCAACGAGAGCCGCTTCTCCTCTCCTGTTAGAGCAACAAGGAGTACTGCGTCAGCAAAATCTCTTTCATTTTCTACAGTTGCAGCTTTCTCCATACTTTGTAGTGACTCTAAGTTATAAAGTCAATCAATCAAGTTTATTTGCATGGCACATTTCAGCAATAAGGCGGTTCAGAGTGCTTTTCATCATAAAATCGCAAAAATAAAGACATAAAAACATCAAACAGACACCAATTGAGAACCCAGTAACAAACATTACATTTTGTCGAGTACCATCATCAAAACCATCAAATATGTTGGTCCATGTTCCAGTGATTATGGGTTGAAAGCAACTAACTCAACTGCAGTAATCAATGCGACTAAAGATAAACGGATGGATGAGATGTTGAGACATTTGTTCTCTAATTCTGGAAATGTTCTTCGGGCGATAGAAGGCCGACTTTCTAACTGTCTTTATGTGGCTCTTAAAGTGTCGTCTGTCTGACAGAATTGTCAGTCACAGCTCTTTTGCTGAAAATCATAGCTCTTATTTTTGCACCCAACTTGCTTAGAGAGAACTTGGTTGACGTTGCTGGGTAGGGAGGATTGTTCTTTACTATTTCACAGAAAAAAAAACATTAATTTGAGATGTATGTCTTGACTGATTTTTGGTGTTGACACTGCACAATAGGTATATAACAAGGTCTTGCAATATTGCAATCTCATTATATTCTATCATCAAAGTAAATTGTGTCTTTTGAAGCTTTAAATTTGACACCCTGGCTGTATTTGAAGTAATAAGGGACGTAGCTCTTGAGATGCACACAGTCACAGAGTCGACTAATAAAAAGCTTGCTGAGCGGGGTGATAACATTATTATGTTGTCTGTGTGTCAACATTTTGGGTGCGCAGTAAAAAGAGACTGTGACAGAGAAGATGAGTGATTTCTAAGCAGTGTAAGAACATTGTGATAGGCTAACTGTTAACCGCTAATGATGCTAAAGTTAGCAAAGAAGGCTTATGAACCGTTTTTTGATGAATTTAGACAACATTCGACAATCACTAGTTGAAAAAGTGGAGCTCTATAACTCCATATTGAACAGATATTCTTTAAAACTCACCGCAAGCTTTATGAAACCTTTATCCTGTTTGTGAACACAGTTATTTTTCTACGCTTTTTTGATAAGCTCCTAAATGTTAGATTTTTGTTAGCATAGTCAGACATTTTTGATCAAAAAGTACTTTAGAATTTTTCTATTTAAAAAAAAAAAATGTATCTATGTAAAATAGAACCATCTTTTTATCGTATGTAATTCCATTTTGATTTATCCTCTTGTAGTTCATTTATACAGTCGCCTGGAAGGACTTAGCAAAATGCAAAAGCCACAACTAGAAAAATAAAAGCTATGCTAAAACGAACCGCTATGTTAGCAAGTTTAGCATAATTACCAGTGTGGCTCATCTGGTTGAAGTTGTGCTTTTTTGTTGTGGCGTAGTTTTTTTTTTTGTTGTTTTTTTTTTTTTTTCATTTTTATGACCCTTCTTTGCCACTATAAATTTAGATGGATGTAGAACTAATTACTGGTTTTTGTAAACTATCTTCATTGTAAAAAATCCCAAACAAACAAAAAAAAAAAAAAAAAAAACAGTGAAATCGTCATGAAGTTGGAGTTGGAGGCTCATTTCATGCAGTAGAAATAGTGCAGTTTAATGGGTGGTGTTGGTGGGTGAAACCACCTGACTGAACTCTTCCCTACATCCACTGGTTTCCCTCTGAGCTCTGAGGTTCAGGATGAACTCGGGCTTAAGTAACTACCAAACCATCCTACCCAGCAGCACTGTAACAATGTATTAAACTGTATCCTGCTGACTGCGCTGGGGCCGCTGTTTGTGGTAAACACAACTTCCTCAGATAATTAGGCTACTTTGTAAGTTTTATTTGGACTGTCAATGCCCCCGTCGTTAGACTGAAATAGGTTTTAGGCTGAGTGAGAAAGTAAAACTCGTCTCTATCTCTCCGAGTTGCTGCTCTGTTTCATATCCTTGGTTTGAAATTGTGCCATTGTTAGTCGTTCTTCTGTAAGACGAAAAAGAAGTGTGCCCAAGCACAGCACGCTCTGTGGAAATTAGTGTAACATGACTGTTCCTGTCAGTAATCACTGGAGCTACATCCACTGAACAACATAAATACCAGTTAAACATTTTTTTCATTTTTTTTTTTCAATTCAGCCCTGCTGCTGCTAAATTAACTTTGCATATTGATTCTTATGGTTCTAATTTTGATTTAGGTTCATCGTATTACACACTTACACATCCGGTGAGGTGCAGAGGTGAGCAACCTGTGGCTCTTACAACCCAAATAGGAAATGTTTTCATTTATGAAGACAATCAGAAAGTGAGGTTGTAGCTGTACGATGTCTAAAACAAAGGCTACCAAAAGTGAAACGCTTTCAAAAGTAATTTAGTTTTATTTATTTTACCATTATATTTTTACCTAGCTTTGTTTTTGTTTT